TTAATAGTTTTCGGTATCCAGGTTTTACACCACTTCGGTTAAATTTATTCCTAGGTATTTTATTCTTTTTGTTGCAATTGTAAATGGGACTGTATTCTTAATTTCTCTTTCTGCTATTTCGTTGTTAGTGTACAGAAACACAACTGATTTTTGTATGTTGATTTTGTATCCTGTAACTTTACTCTATTCATTTATTAGTTCTAATTATTTTTTGGTGGAGTTTTTAGGGTTTTCTAAATATAAAATTGTGTCATCTGCAAATGATGACAGTTTTACTTCTTCCTTTCCAATTTGAATATCTTTTATTTCTTTTTCTTGCCTAACTGCTCTGGCTAGGACTTCCAGCACTATGTTGAATAAGACTGGTGAAGTGGGCATCCTTGTCCTAATCCTGTTATCAGAGGGATAGCTTTTAGTTTTCCACCATTGAATATGATGCTAGTTGGTGGTGTGTCACAAATGGCCTTTATTATGTTGAGGTACTTTCCTTCTATACCCATTTTCTTCAGAATTTTTATCATAAATGGATGCTGCATCTTGTCAATGGTTTCACTGCATCTATTGAGATGATCACGTGATTTTTATTCTTCATTTTGTTAATGTGGTGTATCACATTGATTGATTTGTGGATGTTGAACCATCCCTGCATCCCTGGAATAAATCCCACTTGATCATGGTGTATGATCTCTTTAATGTTTTGTTTGATTTGCCAGTATTTTGTTGAAGATTTCTGCATCTATGCTCATCAGTGATATCAGCCTATGATTTTCTTTTTTTGTGTTGTCCTTGTCTGGTTTCGGTACCAGGGTAATATTGGCCTCATGGAATGAGTTAGGAAGCTTCCCTGCCTCCTAAATTTTTTGGAAGACCTTGAGAAGGACAGGTATTAAGTCTTCTTTAATTTTCGGTAGAATTCACCAGGGAAGCCATCTGGTCTGGGACTTCCATTTTTTGGAAGGTTTCTGATTACTGTTTCGATCTCCATACTGGAGATTGTTGATTTGGTTTTGGAAAGTTCATGATTCTAAGAATTTATCCATTTCTTCTAGATTATCCAATTTGTTGCCATACAGCTTTTTGTAGTATTCTCTTATAATCCTTTGTATTTTTGAGGTGTCCATTGTAATTTCTCCTCTTTCATTTCTGATTTTATTTGATCTTTCTCCCTTTTTTCTTAGTAAGTGTAGCTAAAGGTTTGTCAATTTTGTCTGTCTTTTCAAAGAACCAGCTCCTAGTTTGACTTTTTCTCGTTTTTTTAGTCTCTATTTCTTTTGTTTCTGCTCTGATTTTTATTATTTCCTTCCTTCTACTGATTTTGGGCTTGGTCTGTTCTTCTTCTTTTAGTGGTTTCCGTAAAGTTTGCAATATACATTTACAAGTAACCTAAGTTCACTTTCAAATGACACCATCCCGCTTCATGGGTAGTGCAAGTAACTTAAGAGTATTCCCAATTCCTCCAACCTGTTCCTTTTAACATTGCTATCATGCATTATTTCACTTATCTATAAGCTATGATCATCCAGTATGTTATTGCTATTATTATTTTTATTATTTTAAATAAACTGTTATGTTACATCTGTTAAGAATTAAGAAAAATAAGTGATTTTATCTTCATTTATTCCATTTCCAACTTTTACTTTCTTCATGTAGATGTGAGTTTTTGATCTGTATCATTTTCCTTCTCTCAGAAGAACTTAACATTTCTTGGAAAGCAGGTGTACTGATGGCAAATTCCCTTAGTTTTTGTTTGTCTGAGAAATTCTTTATTCCTCCTTCACTTTTAAAGGATAATTTCACTGGATACAGAATTATAGATTGGTGAATTTTTTCTCAAAATTTTAAATATTTTAGCCTTCTCTCCTCAAGATTGCATGGTTTCTAAAGAGAAGTATAATGTAATTCTTATCCTTGTTTCTCTATAGGTAAGGTTTTTTTAATGTTGTTTTGTTAAATTGAGATATAATTGACATACAACATTATTATAGGTAAGATTTTTTTTCCTCCTCTGGCTTCGTTCAAGATTGTCTTTGATTTTCTGCAGTTTAAATATGATATATCTAGGTGTAGACTTTTTGGTATTTATTCTGCTTGGAATTCTCTGAGCTTTCTGAATCAGTGGTTTGGTGTTGATAATTTTGGGAAATTCTGAGCCATTGGTACTGTAAATACTTCTTCTGTTCTTTCTTCTCCTTCTCATAGTGGCATTATGTCCCTGGTACTCTTTTTGAATTGTCCCACAGTTTTGGATATTGTGGTTTTTTCCAGTCTCTTTTCTTTTTAGTTTGGGAAGTTTCCATTAACATATCTTCAATCTCACTGCTATTTCCTTGGCCCAGGACATTACTCTGATGAGTCTATCAAAGGCATTCTTCATTTCTGTTACACTGTTTTTTATTTACAGCATTTCCTTTTGACTCTAAGAGTCTCCCTATCTCTGCCTACATTACTCATCTGCTATTATACGTTGTGCACAATTTCTGTTAGAGCCCTTAGTATATAAATCAGTTACTTTAAATTTTCGGTCTGATAAGTGCAAAATCTTTGCTGTATTTGAATCTGGTTCTGATGCTTGCTTTGTCTCTTCACTGTACTTTTTGCCTTTTAGTATGCCATTTGATTTTTTTTGCTGAGAGCCAGATATGATGTACTGAGTAAATGCTACTGAGGTAGACAGGTCTTTAGTGTGAGGTCCTATGTTCATCTGGCTAGCATCAAGCTACATTTACTGCATGCTGTAGTTGTAGGTGTCAGAGGCTAAAATTCCTCTGGTGTCCTTGTTTTTGTCTTCTGTTTTGTTTTCATTTCCCTAGAAACTTCTTACATAAGGTCTGAAAGCTGCAGTTCTTTCAGCTATATTCCCCTGTTATACAGGAGCCCTACTGATGTGTGGTGAGCTGTGGGGAGAGGGGAAGTATTCTATAATCTTATGATTAGGTCTCAGCCTGTTAGTGAGCCTGTCTCCCTGGGTTGTGATCTTCACAAGTACTTTTAGTTTTTTGGGTTTTCTTGTTTTTCCCTCTTAAGTGAGACCGAAAGGCTAGAGGTGGCTGAAGTTGGGTATTTCCATTCCTCCAGGTTGGTTAGACTGTGGTAAAACACCAATGGGTTAGACTTTGGTAAAATAGTTTCCTTTCTCAGCAAGCCTTTGTTAAGGAGAACAGAATGCTCTAGAAGTATTTCAAAATGGTTGCTTTTCTCCTGCCCCTGAGGGAAGAAGGAGAGAATTTTTCTGATCTTCACTGTGAGAACTTGGTGGGGCTCCTCCAGGTAAAATTCATAAAACTATATGGGCCCCTCACGGCTGGGTCTTCACAAGTTTTTCTCTCTCAAGTCAGTTTGTGTTCAGATTCTAAGAATTAGCCAATTACTCTTTAAATATTTCTACCAGATGCTGGCTCCAGTGGTGGTATCTGGGCACCAGTGGTGATTTCTGGACAGTTTCCGCTCCAAGGAGGCTCTACTTCTCCGCATCTGCCTGTCTCCAGTACAGCCTGTGTGCCCTGTGGTCTCAATTCACTGATGGAGCTAAGAAAAGCTGCTGACTTTTAGTTCTTCAGCTTTTTTCTTGCCACGAGGATGGGAGTAACAATGTCCAAGTTCTTTACATGTTGAAGAGGCTAAACCACTTTAAAAAAAAATCTTTTAGTATTTCCCCATGATCTACTTAGACAAATTTTCGAGGAGTGAACTTATTGCATTCAAAGTGAGTAAATATTTTTAAGGTTTTTGATGCTTTCTGCCAAGCTTTCCTCCAAAGAAGCTGTACCAAAACAATTTAAATATATTTTACCACCTTATTTTCTTGCTTGTAAACCTTCATTGCTTCCTCATTCATTCAAGATGAAGTCCACCCATTGCCACCAAATGTCTCTAGTGGTTGCATAGGGTCACTGAAATCCTCTGTACAATCTGGCCCTTATTTGTTTTTCAATTTGATCTCTCACTATTCCCCAATGCAATCCTTTGGTTCTAGTGATTGGTGAACTTACTGTCCCTAGAACACGCCATTATCATTCATTTTGTTTTTGTTCAAGTCGTCCCTTAATATTAATAATGCCTTCCCAAGACTTCTCAGTCTTTTTCAACTCAATCTACACTTCTTACTGCTCATCTTGCCCTAGCCCATTTCACCCATTTCATATACATTCATGCACTGCATAATGACGTTTCTGTAAACAACAGCCTGTGTATATGATGGTGGTCCCATAAGATTAGTACCATAAAGAGTAGGTGTGTAGTACACTATACTATGTAGGTTTAAGTACAATCTATGATGTTCACACAATGATGAAATTGCCTAACACATTTCTCAGAACACATCCCTGTCGTTAAGCAATGCATGACGATACAGCTAATGATAAGACAGTACTTCCAGCACACTTTGAAAGGTATCAGGAAGCCAAGAAGTTTTCATAGAACACTTCTGCAAAATAGGGCACAGAGGATGGGACTGTATCTAGTTTATTCAAAGTAAAAAGGGACTAGTTTGGGTAATAAAACTAAGAATTTCTGATATCACTTGGAATAACTAAGAGTTGACAGTTTACGAAATAAAATCATGTAAGCACAGCTTTTGGATTTTTGCTTCTCATTCTGTTTTTTCAGGGCTTTTTAATCAATGGCATCATGACTACATTATATGGCCCTCCTAACTGCTCCAATTTAGTTTCTTTTTTTTGACCCAATTTAAAACATCATAACACCGAAAACTAACACCCTGGATAAATTATTCTATTAATAACATATTTAGTGACATTTAAAAATTTACCTGTTTTTCTTTAGAAAACCCCATATACATAACAACTATTTCTCAGATAAATACATATAAAAGTTTTAACTACACTCATGTCACAAGGACTGAACAGTCTAAATAATAAGTAAATGCAAGGTACAAAGAATGATGATAATTAAAATGAAGAAAAGTTGTTACCAATTCTCAAAAATAGGTTTTTCAGCCCTAATGTTTGATTTTTTTTAAACTTAGAAAACAAAAAACTCACGTTCCATTTGCTCAAACATTACTGAAAAGAGGAAGTCCCGTGGTGTCATATAATATTCTCCTTCATATTCCAGTGAAGAAAACTGCATGAAGCGCTGTTTACGAAGAGACAATTTCCCCATCATCTCACCATAGTCAATATTTTTCTAAAAGGAAAAGAAATTGCAATTTAAGGTTTTTTCAGTACGATTTCCCAAGTTAGCTACTTCTAGAATAATGTTTAAAGAGTAATTTTAGCATTTAGGTCTAACAATCTTCAAACTTTGAAATCATTCATTTAACAAATATTTACTGAGTGCCTAATATGCACTGTTTTAGGCACTGAATAAGACTAACTTGAGGGAACTTACATTCCAGAATGGGAGAAGGACAATTAAGGAATAAAAGTATAAAAGTAAGACAGTGAGAAGTGCCACATAGAAATATAAAGTAGGAGAAGAAAGTGATAAAGAATAATATTTTAGACAGGATAATCGAGGAAAGCCTTTCTAAGGAGGTGACATTTAAAGAGATTAAATGAAGTGCAGCTAGTGAGCCATGGGGCTCTCTGGAGGAAGAACACTCTAAGCAAGAGGTAAAGTGAGAACAAAGACTACGGGATGGGAATAAGCTTGGTGTGTTCAAGGAACAGCATGGCAGAAGATCAGATCAGAGAGACAGGTAGGCAACAAACAGAGCACGTAAAGTTGTGTTTTCATAAAGACAGCATACATCATATCTGCAAAATAGTTCTTTCAGAAATACATTCACATTGTGAGTGAAGAACACGAACAAGAATAGGCAAAATACTGTTAGTGTAAGAGTTTGTATCTCAGACAGTGGGACCTAGATCTTGATTCAAATGCTGATAGAGATAATATCGAAATCTTTATTGTTAGACTTCCGTTGAGCACTTACTATGTGCTAGGCACTGTACTAATTAAATACCTTACATGGATTACTTAGTTAATCCTCACAATAACTGAAAAATAGACACCACCGTAGATATGGAAACTGTAAAGTAAATGGCAGAGCCAGGATAAAAAACCAGGGGTGTCTGACTCAAAGTATTTCAATATTTAACTACCACACTATTCTCCTACCCATGGCTGGGCACTGTGTCCTAGGTAGAGTGGAAGATGACATGCCACTTGACACAGATACCAAGGTCAATATAGTAATCTTGACACAGAATGTGAGTATTATCTGTGAAATTCAACAGCACACTCTCACCCTGGTTTGTTTTCCTTAAGGCACTGCTCTAACTTGGACCACAACATCGTTCCTGGACACACCACCCCCTTTTCACACTTACTACTGACCCTATTATTTACCCTGACACACAAATGATGTTCACTGACTAGAACTGAAATGGGGAAAAGCACAAATTCCAGTTGTTTAAACCTCTCCAAAGTCATCAGCAGCTCCTTTTTGGCTGATCTCAGTTCTCTGACTAGTGTTAATTCTCCCTCCTTAATTGGACAGTTGGTTTCCCTGAGCAGTTAGTTTTCGACCACTTTTGTGTTCTGCACAGAGCCTATTAGAATACTGGACACACATACACAGAATGCTCAGTAATACTGCAGTGATCTGTACGCCTATCTTCTCTAGAACTTGTCTATTCACGTCTTTGTTTTTCTTCTTCCTTAAATTATCACTATAAAAACAACTCAAGGGGCATGTTTTAATTACATGAATCCATACCCTTATCCTAGTAATCAGAAAAATAATTTTTATTAATATTTTCTGAAAATTTTATACATGAGGCAGACATATATGTGTGTGTGTGACTATATCAATATCTACAGGCAGTAACAGATATATTATCAGTTTATTTAACATACTGATACTATCTGTAGAAAAATAGTGGTAAACAAGACAAACATTAATTCCTACCAGAATGTGCTGAGGGCTTTGGCAGGGAATTTATAGAAAGTAACTGGATGGGATAGGGAAGGGAGGATAAGAGTCTTCTCAGTAAACGTCACAGCATGAGTCCCAGATATAAGACAGAATACAGTTTATTAGAAGAAATGAAAGAAGCTGAACATGGCCATATTATTAGCTTAGAGAATAGTTATATTTATCATACTAATGTAAATATATAGTCTATTAAGAGATTAACGGGGACCAGCACTGTGGCTTAGTGGTTAAGTTCAGCACACTTCTCCTCAGCCATGCTGTGATGGCAACCCACACACAAAATAGAGGAAGACTGGCACAGAACGCAGGGCTAATTTTCCTCAAGCAAAAAAAAAAAAAAAAAAGGAAGATTGGCAAGGGATGTTAACTCAGGGCAAATCTTCCTCAGCAAAAAAAAAAAAAAGATTAACAAAGTAAATAATCTATAAAGAAATACAGTATATTTCCAAATCCTTGGCTCTTTTACACTTCCTAAGATCTAACTTGCTCATGACTGGTTAAAAACGCCTTTTACCGGGTGCAGCCTGGTGCCACAGCAGTTATGTTTGCATGTCCTGCTTTGGTGGCCCAGGGTTCACCAGTTCAGATCCTGGGTGTGGACCCATGCACCGCTTGTGAAGCCATGCTGTGGCAGGCGTCACATATATAAAGTAGAGGAAGATGGGCATGGATGTTAGCTCAGGGCCAGTCTCCCTTAGCAAAAAGAGAAGGACTGGCAGCAGATGTTAGCTCAGGGCTAATCTTCCTCAAAAAAAAAAAAGAAAGAAAGAAAGAAAGAAAAAAATGTTTCTACCAACAACTTAATCCTTTTTGTATAAATAAATACATTCTTCTTTCCAAACTTGGTCCTAACTTACATGGAAAACGACCAAGAAGTAAAAACACAAACCTCCCACTCTCTTACAGCAAGAAATGAAACTATTTTCAAAGAACTCTATTTTTTCTTCTAGGAGATTTAGACCTTAAAAATTTCCCTCTCTCATGGTTACTGTTTTCTATATGCCTGTATGTGTACTTGCATAAGCATACATTTCTGAAGAGTCTTGAGAAGAATCAATTATTCTGGGATGTGCCATTTTAAATAATGATTGATTGGGTTGCCATCCCTTCCAGTTTCACAATTTTGTTTAAATAGTCTCCTCAGTAAAGGAGAAAAGGTAGAAGTGGTGAAACTAAAGCTCCCTTTTATGGGTTGATTTCTTCTGAGCTTGAAGCTGGCACATAAATTGTAGACCATAAATTTAGAAAGTCATTCACAAACAAATGACCTCCAAACGTGTCATACCATCATGACTCTCTTTACCAGTAGATGGTGTGGTATAAGACCGTTTTAACAATCCTTCTACCAGCATCCTCACAATTCAACCTGGTATTGTGGCCTTTCATTCCTATTCCACTATCCTCAAATCTTTCAACTCCCATTATCAGCACTAATAATGTCTTTCCTTTTTCTACTCCTTTCTACTACCTCTCACACTGCTTGCCGAGTACACAGCTATCATTTGGAAGTCATCACCACTGTAGACTCTAATCCTACCATTTCCCCTATGGAAGACACAGTGGAAGCCCCCAAATCACAATCTCTTAGTACTAGAGTCTCTCCCTTCATCCTAACCACACACACCCCCATCCCCAACAAGTAAATATTTAACTGAGCACCTACTAATTTGAGGACACTCTAGGAAGAGACAGAAGACATGAATCAAGGGGCAATAGTATAGTCATAAATAACAAAAATAGTAATGTTAATTACACGTGTAGTATATGCAAGGCAGGGTGCTAACATCTTTACATACACGGTCTCACTCAATGTTCACAATACCTCTAATAGTGGACATCATTTTTATCATCCTTATTTTACAAAAGAAGAAACCAAGGCTTGTCAAGTTTAACCAGATTGCCTAGATTAACACAGCAAGTAAATTATTAGCATAGGTAGGATGACAACAATCCCAGTCTCAACCACTATCCTATACTAGCTCCACTAAGAATTATATAAATTAGGAAAATAGAGAAAAGAGTGAGGGTAATGACATTTGATGAAGTTTTCATGAAAAGAGTGGGATTTAAGCTAGGCTCTAGAGAATAACAAAGAAGAGAACTGGAATTAGGGCTAAGTGTTGTCTATTTCCTAAGTCATATGCATTATTTCCCTTATTCAATCAAATTTAAAGTAAGTAGGATATTCTGAATATGTTTCTTTGCTACAAAAAAATATACATAGAAGAAAAAAAAGTATTGTTCTGAAATTGCAAGAATCTTTCTTTTTTAAGATTGGCACCTGCGCTAACATCTGTTGCGAATCTTTTTTTTCCTCTTCTTCTTCTCCCCAAAGCCCTCTGGTACATAGCTGTCTGTTCTAGTTGTGAGTGCCTCTGGTTATGCCATATTGGACACCACCTCAACATAACCTGATGAGCGGCGCCATGTCCACACCCAGGATCCAAACCAGCAAAAACCTGGGCCACCCAAGTGGAGCGCGCGAACTTAACTACTTCACCACGGGGCCGGCCCCCCAGAACCTTTCTAATTCCAAGTTGACAAGCCAACAAATCAGTTTTATTCAGATCACCTTTATCATACAATAGTTGAAGTTTTAAAAGTACATTTTAAAGGACCACTTGTATAATCAAGGTGAACTATATATTTATGCTTGCTTCATAAAATTTGGAAGATTAATTTGCCGTTTTTAATCTTTTATTTATCTGTACGGTTTATTCTTGCCTTACTTCATTTGTATAACCATTATGATCAAATCTCAGACTTAATAGATGCATTTAATTGTCAAGAATTAACAATTCTCCCTCCCCCACTCTTTCTTTCATCTGTGCGCTTTTCCTGCTCACGTGTGCATGCCCTCTTCTTTTCACGTGTTCCTTTCCCTTCCTTCCTTACCTCACATGTCAGGTGGCTTTTTCTGTTCTTACTTCTGTTTTTATACTCCTTGAACTAACCATATTGTTGTGAGTACTCCTTTCTCTTACCTCTACTGTCTCTTTCTCACTTTGGCATATATGTGGCACATCTGTGGTAGGGTGGGCTTGGTAAACTGAGCTAAGGCAAAGACAATGGCTTGTAGACTTCGGTAAGTGCAGTGAGAATATCAGTTTGGATGGAGAGGAGGAGGAGGAACAACAAAGGTCAAAATATTAAAGTTTTGTCTGAGAGTAACCACACAAGGGCAAATGCCTAGCTTAGTCCTGTCACATATCAGGCAGTGAAAAAGTTCACTAATTCATTCTCA